GTGATGCAGTTTGCCTTAGGGGACCTGCCCTGGGGTACTGCAGAGCCTCCACAACCTGCAGCGGCACCTCAGAACCAACAGACTGCTGTTAAACCAACAGCAGAAGTGGCCAGTGCAGATAGTGGTAGGACAACAGTGCCCTTTAAATCACAGCTCTGCCTTCCTCTCACGTGCACTGGGCAGGGATGTGAAGGCAGAGGGAAGGAGTGCCTGATGCCAGACTGCCTGGGAGGACTGCTGAAGTTGGGCATTTGTAGTTGCTACTTGTCAAACCCCATCTTTGCAGAGTTTGCGGCACCTCAACCCTGAGGAGCTTGCAAAGCACTGGCTGGAATCACTGTGACAGGGGCCTGCTTTGGCACCTAATGAAAGAAAGTGAGAAAGAAGGCATCATTTGGACACAGCTCCCTGAGGAGGGACAGCAGAGGATGGGAAAAGGCAGGGGAGCTGCTATTCATCCTCCACCACCCATGCCCCTAGTCTGTGATGCTGGTGTCACACGTGTCACCAAACACCTGGCTTGAAAATAGCTTACTTCACTGCTGTGAACTTCAAGGCTCCTCTGTTAGTGTTTATTAATTTACTGAATAAATAGCAGCAAGGTTCAGTACTGTCTGTGGCTTTGGCTGCTGCTTCTACAGCGTTCAAAGCAATTAGTGCCATGAAAGCAAATGGTCTATTTAGTGGGGGAATTTGTAGGGTAGAAATGAGATCAGATTCCTGAACCGCTGTGCCCTCCTCTAGCAGGATGCAGCGCATGGTAGGCCTCAAGCTGACACCAGGCAGAACCCCTCCCTGCCTTCCCCAGCTGGCTGTGATATCAGAGCCAGTCCTCTAACTCCACAACAAGCACAAGGAGCTGCCAATTTAAAGCATTTTGTCTGCCAGAGGAAGAGGAAGGATTCCTTTGTTGTGGGGGCAGGAGGTGGCACCAAAATAAAAACACTCCCCCCAGTTCTCTAAAAGGAAGCAAGTGCCTCACACAAGAAAAAAGCCGGGCCTCCAGTAAAGGGCACAGTGGCAGTCCTGCCCCAGTCCTGCACTGCTCCCTACTTGCTTTGTGGCTGAGCCAAGGCCTGAGGTCTCAGGGCTGCACATGCCTGTGCCTGGCAGCTCTCCCAGCCCTGCACTGGCTGGCAGGGACTGCTGGAAGCTGCCCAGCCTCCAGATGCAGCTCCTCAGCAGGAGTTGGTCCTGGGGTGCAACCAGCTGGGGGCTCCTTCCTTTATCCAGGGCTCCATTCCTCCCCCAGTGGCACTCGCACAGCCCTGTGTCAGCCTGGCAGCCTTTCCATCGCACGGATCGTAACATCGTAAAAATGATTTGGGTTGGAAGGGACCTCAAAGCCCACCCAACCCCATCCCCCAGCCGTGGGCAGGGCTGTCCCCCCACCAGCTCAGGCTGCCCAGGGCCCCATCCAACCTGGCCTGCAGCACCTCCAAAATAACTAATTTTGAAAAAGCAAAGTCACCTTTCATACCATCCTTCCCCCTTGGTCCCCACCTAACCAGTATCAAGCAAGAGATCCATCTGCAAGCAGACTCTTTGGACACATCAGAGGTGAGATGGTGCACTCAGGGCAGGGCATCGAGGGAGCTGCAGCTTAAATAATTTCTTCCGTGACACAGCGGAAAAAAATCCGCTAAGAATGAAAATCCATCAAACTTGAGAAGACAAACGAGGACCAGAAATGCAATAGCCAAAGATTCTACAGGAATAAAACCAAGACAGCACATCTGGTCTCAGTAGGCATGTGCCCATGGCACCTCCAGCGCCCTGACTGACTGAATGCTCCCAAGTAGCAGTGCCTACATCTGAGCTGTAGCACCGCATGCTTAAGCAGTGTCGCCTACGTAATTCCTGATTCCTGACCAATCCTTTGGTCTTTTCCCTTAGGAATTCCTCTGGCTTGATTTCCTTACCTGCATTGTCACTGTCCCGAATCTCTCTTTCAAAAGGAGGAAGTCAGTATTTCATTTGCATACCAGAATTTCTAGATTTATTTCTCTAATCGAGATACAAAAAAGAAAACTTCAGTTCCTTTATCAATGCTTCCACATTAATAAAAGAACAACTAATTATTTTTTTTGTGTAGGTGGTTGCAACATTGTCAACAGATGCATGAAGCAGTTCTGAAGGACAACACAAGTAGATAATAGCTGCAGATGTGCTACATTCAAATGCATTTGTATCAAGTTTAACAGGGCTGTTACCAACTTGACAGGAGCCCAGTCTCAAAGAAGTTAAACCTCAGTTACTCACCTTTTGTATGTGCTGTTCTGGATGCTCCCGGACAAGTGCTCCTTAATTTTTACTTTGTGGCTATAAACTGCTTGGCATCAGAAGTGTGTGATCACGTTTTGCCTAGCATTAGTTCTCAAAATGACAAACTACTCCATTAAAACAGACTTTACACAGCACAACCCTGGCAGACAGCAAGTTATGAATAATGTGATTTATTCTGCAATTTTGGGCTCTGTTCAAGATACCAAAGCAGAGAATACTTCTCTGTTAATCCTCTTTGGAAATCTTCAGACAACCTCACTCGTGTGCTTAGAGCTCACTCAGAATTTCTTGAAAAGTTAGCAGCTAACAAGCTTTGCAGGGAATCTCAGCACAGAGGTGAAATCCATTCACTGCCTACGTTGTTTTCTTCTGTGCAACTCACTGTCTATAAGAGACACCAAGAAACACACCACCTAACTCATTTTCAGACTGGTCACCAGAATCCATTACCAAGTTTCAGGTAAAAAATTACAACTGCATTTGAACAGAATGTGACTTCAGGTGTACGTTTCTTCACAGCGACTTTCATCAGTGACTGCAGGGAGGCATATAAAAAAAATTTAGTTTCAAACATATGTTCCTGTCTAAGTACTGCTTCTAGAAAGCACTCTAACTATGAAGAAAAACCACCACCACCACCAAAAACACCATTACGGTTTTAATTTTGGGTGGTCCTGAGCAGAGCCAGGAGCTGGACTCAGCAATCCCTGTGGGTCCCTTCCAGTGTGGGATACTCCGTGGTTATGAAAGTGTCTTTTTGATTAGAGCATACAACAGGCACTAATTGCGCGTGGGCTCAGCTCTCAAATGTGCTGGAGGATGTCAGTGAAACAGAAAGGAGGCAGTCAACCAAGAAGCCAATACCTACACACCAAGAAACCAGATAACGGAGTGTAAAAAGCTTTAATAAAAGCAAAGAAAACACAGCTTACACTGCCTGCTCTGTCTGGTGAACCATGAAGAACAGAGAAGGTTCCAAACTTGCCATTAACGCAAATAAGAGAGGAATCTGGACAGCAACACAGCTTGCTTTTCCTCAGCTCTATTACTAAGTTAGGGAGCTCATTTCAGCTCCAGACTCTACCCAGCAGTATATACACCAAGCTTGCAGACAGATATAAAGCTCAGATTTAAACCATTACATATGCAGTACTTCAGCCAAGGTAGCAACTCTTGTTTGTTTCCTAAACCTACTGGAAGTACTTGGGCCACAGGTAGAAGAGAAAAACGGAAGGGAAAAGATGCAGCCAGATGCAGAAGGGTAATTTTTTAATCAGATATAACCCAAATGTAACGTTTAAGAATCAAGACTAAAACCAGGCATCATTTAATGTATTTTAATAGCAAACTTACAGGAACAGCACAGAAGACAGACAACATTAAAAACATGTACTTGCATGTAGGACAACTCAGTTAGAAAAGTATAGTGAATGGATGGAAACTACTGTATGATAAAAATGCTACAAACACCATTTAGTTGCCATTGGTAAGAAATTTACTTGTTTAAAAAAATCCAAATGCTGGCATTGTCCAGAAAAATTTGACAGGCTTATTTATACTTTTTTTTTCTTTTTTTTTTTATAAAGTTGAATTGTTGAAACTTGTTCACTCAGACATTTTTTTTTTGACCGCATTAAATGTTTTGTCCCCTCGTTTATATTAAAAATCCACACACAAATGAAAATGGAAAAAAACTTGCCAATACCCAATTCTGTCCCCTATTTTTCCATTTGCAACCATATACTTAGGTACCTTTTAACCCCATGGAAAAAATATCTAACGTTCATTACTACCAATAACAGGAAGAAGATTTTGCTTCGAGAATGACAAACGCATCACGGTGAAGTTTAGGCACGCTCCCCACGAATGCGGCGTGCTAGCTGGATATCTTTTGGCATGATTGTGACACGTTTGGCATGGATAGCACACAGGTTGGTATCTTCAAACAGGCCAACCAAGTAGGCTTCACTTGCCTCCTAGTATAGAAGAAAAGAGTAAAGAACACTTTCACTCTGTGAGTATGAGGAAAAGGAGAATTCCAAGTACAACATAACGCTGTATTGAGTTTCTATCTCTATTAATACACATCTAAAGGTTGAGATTGCCAAAGAAAGAAAAGTCACCATTTTCACGTAAACTGTCAAGTAACACCCATGTCAAAGCTGTGTACTAATGCCATTGGGTGAGGACATCCTCTGGAACACGACTGAATAAACGTTGTGACAGCACTCATGAGATAAGGGGCCATCTTATCAAAAGGTGAGTTTGTTTAGGAACTTCTCTTTTTAAAGGCTGGCTTACACCATCTGAGTTACTCGTCTGCTCTTCCAGAGTAAGAGCTGCTGAGCACCAGGTGCAATTGGCTGTTGCTAGGGAAAAGAGGAGGCGTTCTTTCACAAGAGGCAGTTAAAGCACACGGCTCCTCACTGCAGGATCTGTGGCTACTGAGAAGGTTGCTTAATTCTAAAGTCACAAACTAGCAGAAAAAAACGTATGGAGAACTGTTAGATGTAAGGGGACAACACCTTTAATTCAGAAACTTCTTCCGTCACCAAAAGCAGGACAGCAGTCTGAAAACCACCATTAGACAGCTCTCCTTTTCCTACAGTCTCTTCCTCCCTGTAATCACAGCCTAAACCACTGATTAACACCTGAAGACAAGACCCAATCAGCCCTGGGAGTACAGGTGAAGGCAATTCACGCTGAGGTGGAGCCTGGCTCCACCTCTACTGAACCTCATTTAAGGGCTTCCAGCCACTCTGGAAAGGTCTCCTGGAGATCCCTTCTCTGTGAACCTAGATCCTTGGAGACAGGTGAGCAATCTTTTCTTTGTAACACCTTTCTACTCTGCTGGTCTTTCTACCATTACACTCCCTAAGCATTATCTGCTTGTTTGGGGCAAGGAGGGCACAGCCCTATTAATATAGAAGGCTCTCACACTTGTGAATCCTAGGGCCAGCACCTCAGGAATGAAAAGGACAACCCCAGTCCTAACAAAACCACAATCCTGTCCTTGTTACTATGATACTGCAGGCAGGATCTGGGGTTAGACAGATGCTCGCTTAGACCTAATTATTCTCCTGGCTCACTTTAAGCTTGCTGCTAATTAGGCCTAGCACAGCAATGGCAACTGTTTTGACATTCTCAGGTCGATTCAGAATTCCAGCATCTAACAGCCTCCTAAGAAACATGCCAACATGACTTGGCACACAGGGTGAGCAGGCAGAAATGATGGGGTTAACTTCCAGAAAGAAGACTGAGATCCATCCAAAGCACCAGCTTATGTGAGCTACAAAAAACCAATTAAGTTACATACAACATTAAATTAGAAGAAAAATATTTACTGCAGATGAGGACTGCAGTATTAAGTTACTTGATATTCTGTGTTATTCCAACACAGTTCTGCTAATTCACTACATGAAAAGTTAAGAAACTTCACCAAGTAAACCATACATAAATAATACAGTACTGAAAGGGTTAAGGCTGGGCTTGTTTTTCTTTCTCTGAAATGTGCAAGTAGGAAGCACTATGAATATTCCACAAACAACTTCTATACCAACAACTGCTTAGTGCACAACCTGGAACATTCAAGCTAGTATTCTGAAGATGCTTCAACTACGGTCTAAATGTTGGCAAGCAATTCCAGTTTAGAACAAAACAACACAAACGCATCAATAAACCTCAGGATGGAGGAATTACCATATTCACAGCCAGGAGTGAAGTCAGAACACCAAGAAAAAGCAGCAACCTTGGAAATGCATGCAGTCACCTTTCAAAGCTAAGCATGTGCTCAAGTTTGTAGGACTTCATGGTGCACATTTTGGCCCTTTCCATGTGGAAGCCAATAGTCAGAAAGAGAGCTACTCTACAGAAAAGACAAGATGCTCTACAACTAGGTTTTGGAATCAGGAATATACTTCTATCATGAGAAAATTCTTTCACTCTCATAAGAACAAAGCCTTGGAGGAGATCTAACAAGACTAAACCTTTGGGCACTTGATTTGGGAAGCACAACCACACAGCTGGAGTCCATCAGTTTTCAGGACAGAGCAAAAGGAACCTCAGTAGAACTAACTGAACAGGAATACTGAGTTCTAGGTAGCTTATACTAGACTCAGACTGCCAGGAATTTGGCTCAGGAGGAGCAATCAATGCTTCACCCTCAACTTATTTTAAGTTATTTAACTAACACAATAAAAATATTGTGCTTAGTATAAACCACTTTACACAAATACCCATTTCATCAACCACTTTTAGATGTGGCTCAGCGAGCTGTTTTTCTTTAACCTGAATTTCAGGACATCAAGACATTCATTTGGACAGACTGGAACAAGTTCTACTTTCAACACTTTCCATTCTTCCAAAGGTAAGACGTTTGTTCATGTTTGGAGCTTAGGGTAGATGCATTTATCTACAGCGTCTTATTAACTGTGCTACTCTTTTGCTGGGAGAAAGGGCGGGATGGCCAGTTAAATAAGATACATTGACAGCTGTTATAAGGAGCTGCTGACCTGTCACTATATCATTTTAGCTGCGGCACCTGCAGACCAACATCAAGTCAACTGTAAACAAAGGATGCACGTTATGGTGCGTCCTCCATGTTGGAGCTCTGCCAGCAGAGGCTGTGCCCACCACAGCACAATGCAGCTGGAGCCAACCATAAAATCCAACTGCCCAACAGGACTGGTGGGGCCGAGCCCTGCCTTCCATTTCTGAGTTAGGGTGGGAGCCTCCCTGTTGCAGCACTCACACTAGGAACAGTAGTGTCCTCACAATTACCATTTTTTTTGGAAACCTCTCCCAGTGATCTTGCAGATCTCTGGGAAAGCAGATGGGTGCGTGCTTTAGCACAGCTTCTTGAGGGAGCCATTAGGCGAGGTGCTGCTCCCAGTACCACTTACCTGCAAAGCACCGATAGCAGCGCTCTGGAAGCGCAGATCTGTTTTGAAGTCCTGAGCAATTTCACGCACCAGACGTTGGAAGGGAAGTTTGCGGATCAAAAGTTCGGTAGACTTCTGATAGCGCCTGATCTCACGGAGAGCCACAGTACCAGGCCTTTAAGAATAGACGATAATAATTTTAAAAAGAGAATTAGTATTCAAAACATAATTCTGCATCACCTTAAGAAGGTTCATGACCTGAACTGAACTGAACATAAAAAACACATGTAATTTTAGGGGATGGAAGAGACCTCTGGAGATCATCTTGTCCACCCCCTACTTCAGCAGTTCGCCACAGGAGGGCACACAGGTGAGTGTCCCGGTGGGTCTTGAGTATCTCTATGGAAAGAGACCCCCACAGGCTCTCTGGGCATCCTGTTCCAGTGCTCTGTCAATGCATTGCTTTCATTAGAAGCATCCTGGTGGCAGCAACAGGAACTTGTTTTCCCTTTCTTCGTCACTCACCACTCATCTGTGTGCACTCCCACTGTCCCAGTAGCATCCCTCCCCTCACGAGCACAGGACAGCATCAGGCCGCCAGAGGTCCTGATCACAGCGATCAGGGTGCTGGGCACACGTCCTGACAGTACGCGGCAGGCTCAGCACAGCGCTGTCAGTTAGTTCGTGCAATGACCCCAGAGCCACCATTCCCGCAGTCATTCTGACAGGTACACACGCTCGCAGGGACACGGCTCTTCCTGCCTGATGACTTCACGCCGTGTCAAAATTCCCGGAAAGAAAAAAACGTATCTGCCGTATCGCGCAGCCCGCATCAGGAGCGGTGTTATTTCCCAGCACTCATCTCGGCGCCGCCACTACCGACAGCACGCCCTTCTCCCGCTAACACTGATTTCCGCGGACGCTCCGTCCCGCCCGGCCCCGCTCCCCCCACGCCGAACTTTCTCCGCCGCCCGGCCCGCCCCAACCTCCCCCCCCCCCCGCAGTCGAGCGGCGCGGTGCCGCCGGGTGGCGCTGCGTACCGGTAGCGGTGCGGCTTCTTCACCCCGCCAGTAGAGGGCGCGCTCTTGCGGGCCGCCTTGGTGGCCAGCTGCTTGCGGGGCGCCTTGCCGCCGGTGGACTTGCGGGCGGTCTGCTTGGTACGGGCCATGCTGCTGCCGACGTCGCTGCCTTACACCTGCCGCGACAAGACGCCCGCCTCACCTCGCGGCCGGGGCGCTTTCCCCCCCGCCCTGCCTTGCCCCACCGCCCCACCCGCTCGCGGGGTGCGGGGGGAGGCGGGGGGGCGGCCGCGCCGCCGGCCCGCTCCGCCCAGCGGAGCCGTTAACCCCAGAGCGCCCTCCCGCTCCTCCCCCCTCCCTCCGGGAAGCGGCGGAACCCGCAGCCCCCCCCCGGCCGTCGGGAGCGGCGGGGGGCCGCGGTGCGGTGCGGCAGGGCACCCCCGGCCGGCTCCTACCTCCCCTTCCCCCTCCCCGAGCCGGCCCGCTCCCCTCTCTCCCTCCCGCCCCGCGGCCCCACCGAGCGAGCGGCCGACGGGCGTCCGCGGCGCCCGAAGGGCGGGGGAAGGGCCGGGACGAGCATGAAGGGAGAGGGCAACTTTCGGGGGGCGGCGGCCGGGCCCCCCTCGCTCCGTGCAGGAGAGCCTCCCGGCAGCGCCCCGCTCCGCGGCGCCTCTCGCGGGCAAACTCCGGCGTCGGCCGCAGCGCAAGATGGAAACAGCCGCCGAGCGCAGCCCCGCGCCGAGCAGGAAGGGATCTGTCGCCAAAAACGAGGCGCGGAACCCCGCCGGCGGCTCCGAGCCGCGCGGGTGCCGCTGGAGGGGGGCGGCGGAAAAGTTTGCGCTCGAAAACCCCCAAATCGCGGCGCGTTGGGGCCGTTCCCGGAGCGCGTTTCTCTGCCTCCCGATCGGTTTTTATGCGATAGGGGGGAAAAAAAATATGGTCGGTGACCAGAGAAAAGAGACAAGATGGTGAAGCTGAGCAACAACCGCGGGGAGCGGGGAAGGCGGCGGCGGCCGGGAGGTCCCGGGCGGCCCCGGCGGCGCTCCGCCGCCGCTCCCCGGCCCCGATGCGGGGGGACGCGGGGCCTGGGGCGCCGCCGAGGGTCGGGGGAGGCCGCCGAAAGGGGAGGAGGGGGGGGTCCGGAGCGGGGCCGAGCGGGGAGCGGCGCCCGCGCGGAGCGGGGGTTCCGGCGGAGCGAGCGGCGACGCGGGGGAGCGAAGGGGAGGGCAGCGCGGGGCGGCGGCGGCGGGGAGCGGGCCGCGGGGCACCAAAAGTTTGTGGGGAGGGTCGGGGGGCGGCGGGGCGGCGGCGGGGGGGCGCGGGGTGCGGCGCCGCACTTACCCCGTCCGCCTGGGCGAGCGCGGCTGCCGTGCGGGAGGGAGGGAGGGAGGAGGGCGGGCCGAGGGCGGGCGCGAGGAGGAGCCGGAGCTGCGGCGGCTGCTGCTGGCGGCGGCGGCGGTTGCGAGCACAATTGAAAGATGGCTGACCGGGGTGGGCCGGGCCGCCGCTGGGCCGCGCCCCCGCCCCGCCCGCCGGCCAATGGGGCACAATGGAGGGAAGGCCCCGCCCCGGCCGAGGCCCCGCCCCCTCCCTCGGCGCCGTGTGTACAAACACAAAAGGCACGCCGCGCGCCGTGGGGGATTCCCGCCCCCGCCGGGCGCTTAACGGCCGCGCAACGGCGCCCAGCGGCGCGCGGGGCCTCGCTGCGGAGGGCGAGGGGGAAAGACGAGACTGGCGGGGAGCCGGACCCGCCCGACCCGCCGCTCGCGGAGCTGCGCGGAGGCGGGCGGGAAATGGGCGAGAAGCAGCCGTGCCGCCCCTGGGGTCCGGCCCGGAGCGCGCGGTGCCGTCCCTCACGAACGTGCGGGCGCCGCGGGCAGCCCCCCGCCCGGCCCGGCGCCCTCTGCCGCCGTCCCGCCGCCCCGCGCCGCCATTGGCCGAGCGCCTGGAATTCCGTGACGTGGCGACGCGGCGCCCGCCCCCCGGCCCGCCCCTTCTGCTTGGCGGCCTCGCCTCGGCTGCCCTCTTTTCCCCGGCTCGGCAGCTGGCGGGAACGCGCCGAGGGCTGTCGCGGGGCTTCGGACCTCGGCTGTAGGAAATGAGATTAGGGTGGGGAACGGCTGGCGCGGGCTGCGGCCAGGGACTGAAGCGCCGCCGGGCAGAAGGAGGCAGGTTGCGATGGGAAGTTGTGTGGGATGCAGGAACACCTCCCGCAGGAAGCCGCCATCCAGCGCAGGGGGCAGAGCCCGTTCGCATTTGGGCTCTGTCCACGTTTTCCAAAATACTTCGCTTCCTTGGGAAGCTCGCTCCTATCCTGCTGAGGAGGTTCTGGCAGGGAAAGGCGTGCATTTCTCATAAGGCGTCTTTCAGGCGGCCCCCGGCCCGCTCCAACACCAGCAGAAAGCTTCAGCCCCGGCTAGCGTCTCGCGCTCTTAGCCAACATCATCCCCAGTGTCGCTGCTGGCTGCAGGCAGGTTCGCAAACAATGGCAGCCGCTTCCCTCTGCGGCAGCACAGGTTGCAAACCCCAGGGTAGATGAAGCGCACCTCTCCTGCGGTTGTTTGTACAAAGGAGAAGGTGTGAGCTCAGAGTACAACAGTTTTCAAACGACACTGCTGGCATCGTTAAGAAATGTTTGAAAAAGGTTTTTGCTCTAAAAGACGTTCACAGTTTGTTATATCACCACACAAAGTCCAAGCGGCCTCTGATCAAAGAAGAAATCTTTGTTTCCCACCCACACAAAAAGCACAAACCAAAAATGCAAACCGCTTTGCCTAGCTCCCACTCAGCAGACAGAGAGAGGTTCCCTTCCCGTTACCCACGCAGGGCGAGTTTGTGTTGTTACCAGTTAGCATAACAACTTCTTCACGGTGAGGGTGATGGAGCACTGCAACAGGCTGAACAGGGAGGTCGTGGAGTCTCCTTCTATGGAGAAATTCAGCACCCGTCTGGTTGCCCACCTGTGCAGCCTGCTTTGCACAGGGATTGGACTCCTGAAGATTGAGGCCTTTAATTCAGCCTCCAGCTCTGTAGTTCCTCTCTTGGAAAGACTTACCCAGTGCTCAATCCCCCTGAACACATTTGCCTATATATATGTGCTACTGCCTCTTAATTCCCTGCGCATCATCAAGGATTCTCATATTATAATCTCATTTGTACTGCCTATTACAACATGCACACGCTGCTGGAACTCATCTATCATCCTTCTAATGAGGTCCTACGGAACATGAAAGAGTAAATAACATTACATAAAACAGCACTAATTCTTTCTTTTCCCTGGTCTACCGAGTTTCCTTTGGAGGAAAGAGTGTTACACAGGAAACTTGTAAGAAAATACTGTAATGACATCCCAAAGTTCCATTCCCTTTTAATTCGTTTGGTTGTAAGTTTTATTTACAATAGCCTTTAAAAGATGCTTAGTATTTTAATATCCTTTAAAATATCAAGTCCATTTCCTTTTAAAGACTGGAAGTTAAAAACAGCTTTAATTGCCTGATGCACAGCTAAGAACAGAGTTTGAGATGCGTTAAGGTTCACCGTAGCTGTAACCATTGCCTCCATTCTTACTAATCAGCTTTGAAGAGCTTGGGTACAATAGTTCCTTATCTTTGGGTGGAAACAGCACATTGAATATTTCACCCCCAAAAAACATCATTCCAATTATACTGACATTGTAAAAACCCTCAACAGAAATTTAAGTAGCTTTTCAAACAACTATGTTTCATATTTTCTCCCTGACTCGCACACTTAGTACTGGATAATTACACTCTCTTTTGTTACAACACATGAGATGACAAAGGAAAATGATAACAATACAGACAGGACTGCACTTTTACACAGTCAAGAACCTCCCCTCGTCAACAGAACCTCCCCTTCTTAATGTCTCTGTTGAGCTTATACCTTTTTTCTTCCTTTTCTAAGCAGCGCTATGCTATTTTTCATGCACTTAGGCAGACATTATCAGTCTAGAGTGCACTGAAGAGTTAAATGAAACAGGAACAGAACTCCAGTAAGAGCCAGGGAATAGTGTTCAGCAGATTGTTGTGCGGTGGTTGTACTCACCAAATACTGGAGATGATACAGCAGACTTTCTGTGATTTTCAGATGAAATAAAACCAAATGGCATAACGTATTTTAGAAATATGCTGTGAACTTTTAATATGAAGCTATGTTACAGCCAACGACAAATAAAAAGAGAGTTCATTTCCTCTAATGGTAATACGGGATTTTGGAATTTATTGTACCTAGCTGAGTGAGTTTGCATAGATTTCAAGCAGGTTTTTGCAAGTCTTTCTGCAGCTTAGGGAAGACCAATTGTCTCCTCCTCCATTTACAATACCACAAAATAATTCAACTCTTTCTAGCCCTCCTGGTTCTTCACACATGACTACCTTATCATAACAACCTTCTTCATCTTTTAAAAGCACTGCATAGTACTGCGGAAGGAACTAGATAGCTGGTGGCCTTCATCCTAATGGAGACTACTGTAAAATCTTTTATGTCCTGGTACTTCTGTGTTGATAGATTCATTAAAGCTGTCAAGGAGAAACAAGCTGCACAAACTCTAATTGGTTCCAAATAAGATCCCCGCTACTACAATGATTTATTTTGAGCTCCTGTTGTAGTAGAGTTTCATCAAGATGATTTGCCCTAAGACTCATACATGCTGGCAAATAAACCCCTGCAGGCTTGCATTAGGGAGGAGAAAAAAACGGCTCACTGTTTTCCACCACCCATTAGGCTCACATTGGCCTCATTTTGCAGTGCTGTTCTTGTAAAGGATGTCTTTTTTTTCTACACTGGTGCCGTATCTAGCCCATGCTGACACTGCCTTTAAAAGCTCTTTCTGTGAGCTACTATTCTTGACAGAACTAAAAGAGTAGTATTATCTATTCCATTTCTTTGCTCGGTGGGGTAATCTCACGAGATATGAATCTCCTCTTCATGAGGGCCCTAGGGATA